AAAATGTCATAGTAAGGTAATTTTTCATTGTGATTGATAGCCATCTATACTGGTTTTCTTTCTGATGAAGAACGATAGACTCTATGACACTATACTACTCAGCAAAATCAGAGAAATACCAATTATCAAATTCATAGGATGTATATTAATCTTAGAATAAAGTATATACATGAATATACAATAAGATTCTAATTAAGCTTTTCTAAAAGAGATGCCCATGCACATGCACAAATTGGCTTTACATTTGTAATACTTTCCTTTAAAAAAAATAGAAAATATTTAATCAGTTCAACTCGAAAACTAAGTACATGATACGACAAAGCTGCAGCTGTGCAGTGGTAAATACTAAAAGGAAGTTCAAAATAATGAAAATACATTTTTCTTATTCAGGTCAGTGAGCTCCAAAGAGAGTCATATAGTAAACAACATCGATAATCATATCAATGCCTCTTCTGAATAATTGAATGTCTCTACTGTGTATTAGTTACCTAACCTCCACATAAATAAAGCATCTTTTTATCTCGTTTGACTACTTATACTTCATTTTTTAAAAACTAGTTCCTTAACAAGTACAAAAAATCTTATCATTAAGTGTTGTATGAAGCTTTTGAAAAAATGGAATTTACCTTTTGTTTTTATTGTAAAACATGTTTTTGTATCTTTTAGATAAATTACGTGCTTTTGATGGTTCTTTTAATTAAGTGGACAGTTTCGATTTTTCAACTCTTTAAACTTCACTTCCACTCAATATTATCAAACAAAACTTGTCATAATCAAACATATGTTTGTTTGAAAAATCTGATTGCTAATTTATTTGCTGCAACTCATTTAAATCCTTCAAATGTAATGAAGGAAGCTATTCTTTATATATTTATTCGAAGTGTGATGAGATGATAGATGCAGTAAATTGTCTACTTGACAACATTTACGAATGTTTCGGGAAAAAAAGGTTAATCGAAAGGTTGTAGGAATTAGTATGGACACCATTATTTTGCACCCATTCAATAGCAGACTTGTTCATCTACTGTAATAAAGCAAAGTGTATGCCCAAACGTAGAAAACACCCGTCTAAATTCCATTTAGTTAATATATTCAACAATACTTACAACCGTTATCTTGAAGATAATTTTTCGTTGAATAATTAAGAATTCTGTTAATATACTGCCAAAAGGTACCTAAAAGGAACGTACTTTAGATAAATCATATATAAACAATAACTGTCTTTTACAAGATTTAGATAAATCAAATTTAAATGGGAAAATTTACACAAACATATACGACAAAAGGAAACCCTATTGTTAATTTTCTAATTGTGATCGGGGATGTTCCTTTGGCGCCATCTTAGGTGTTTATATATCACAACTCGTTCTCTATGTCCGTGTCTGTAGTAAAGTTTTTGATTTCATTGAACGTAATCTATGTATTATTGGTAAATTTAGAGTCAATGATATCTTTACAACAAATTATTTAATTACTTTACTAAATTCTTTCCTAGATACAAATATTATGTTTAGCTTTTTGGATGTACCGGTAATACCTTATTACAAACGGGATTTAATTTAAGGTTGACGTTGTTTTCCGAGCCCGTACATTAGGATAAGGTGTGGAAAAAACTTACAATTAATTTATATTTTGGCATTGAAAAGGGTCATTTTTTTTTCTGAATGTTAACAACGTCTTAACACTAACTCCATTGGAAGTTGGATGTGTAATGAATAATATTTTAGTCTAAGTTGTTATTGGCTTTGAACTAGTCTTCAATAACTGCGAGAGATTTCAGCTTTAACTGATACCATTACAAAGAAATTTTGCAGTCTTCGTCTCGATTTTTTCTTTGCTTCATTTTTCTTTGTTAACAGGTGGATACCACTGTTGTTATGGCGTGGTGGGCTATAAGTGGCTTCGGGCCACAATAAATATCTGAGTTTGCTTCATATAACTGTTAATGCTTGATTATATTGTTTAACGTTCACTGGGGAAATATTCCACATGTTCTATGCATAATAAGAAAAAGACATATTGTAATTAAACATTTAAGATGTTGAATGGACTTACGAAGGGTAGAGACATTTTTTTGGATAAACGTTTGCATTGAAAATTGACATTTATCACATCCAACTGGACACATTATCATCTCTCAAAAGCTTATGTTAGAACTAAGACATGTCAAATTCTAACTTTAAAATGTCAACTAGAACCTTATAAATGTTAACTTGGAACGATTAAATGTTAATTTGGAACGGATAATGTCAACTTGGAAGTTGAAAATGAAAAATGTTAATTTGCAAATGAGACAGTTTAACAACAGAATTTTCCTACTATTTTGTCGTACAAAATAGAAAAACAACACTAAACATGGCATTTATTTGTTTGGCCATACTCGGGAAGTTGTATTTAAATTGTTTCGATCGTAATTAAAATGTAGAACCAAAGAATAGCCATGTGTTCTTAATGTAGAGAAAAGAAAACACTACATTGTCATATGGAAAATATCAAAAATTTATTGCTTTTTTGGTTATCTAAAATATTATATTATCAATGAAATAACCATCAGTTTTGATTAAATTACAGAAAGAAAGGAACGGAAAAAATCAAACTTTGGTAAATATTCGAAAGTATCTTTATTTGTATTGCACTATTTCAAAAATATATCGCTATTTTTTTAATCAATAAAACAATTAACTCACTTATATTACGAAATACACTTAGAAATCAAAAGTATGAATTTCATTGTTCTCTCAAACAATTATCAATTTTTACACGGTGAATGCTTTAAAACATGGATTACAATCACATTGTCGTATTGGTTGGAAATAAGTCAATCTATATTAAAATTTAATTGTTAAAATAATATTTAATCAACATGCCCGGTAGTCTAGTGGTTTTTCTACAAGTATTGAACATGCATAGCAATTTCTATCGTGTCGCATGGATACTACTTTCCTTTCCGGTAGTTGAAAATTTAGAAATTACATTAGCTCAATTCGAAATTAAATCATTTCATTGGATTCCACCTAATTTATATACAACTGATGTGTTTTCCAAATCACCGAAAATCTGTTCTTTATTTTGTGTCTTAAACGAATTATGCTCAATTGCAAGTTATTCTGAGGAAACACGCACATGTCGGATAGACAAATCTGGTAAATGTTTCTTCCTATTTGAACCTGTAAATGGATGGGCGGTTGTAAAAAGAAAAGGGCCACGTAAGTATACATTGGACTAATTTTTCACCGGATACACAATTTTATTGTAGTATGATCTTGTCTTTTAGAAAGCAACAAATGTGTATTCTGGTATAAGGATTTTCTGCAATTTCCATACTATACAACTATTCAATGGTGTATTCGATTGATACATTGATTGATTGGTGTTTAACGCTTCTTTCGACACAACTTGCTATTTCGCGATGGTCAGATTTTTAATTAGTGCAGAAAGCCGGTGTGCCCGGAGAGAACCAACGACCACCGTGACTTCTGTATATATGATTATGATAAATACCGATGTGCCCCGAGTAATCTATCACTTTATGTGGTGACATGTTATAAAGACGCTAATGCACGCATTTAACCAAACGCATCTAACAACATAAATTTCATCAAACGCATTTCCAATTTTCCAAATGAATGGAGAAAGAGATATTACAACAAGTCTTAAAATAATTCACCACTAAATCGACAAATGCCTCAATTTTTACTTAATCATATCTAAATTTAGTAAAGAAGGTCTTAACAACGATAATTAAAAAAAGGGCTTTAAAGATAATAAACAAAATTAGAACATAAAGTTTTAAAGTTCATATTGGACAATGGGACGGATTATAATAAATTAATATTAAGATAAACATGTAAAAATGCAGGATCACATGCGACGGACTACGAAACTTTAGAGCAAACACGTATGTCAGTCCTCTACCAGATGATCTAATAATAATAATAATGAGGATCCTAATATGTTTTCAAGGCATCAAAAGTAAAATAACAAAAATACCGAACTCAAAGGAAAGTTCAAAACGGAAATTCCATTATCAAATGGCAAAATCAAAAGTTAAAACACATCAAACGAAAGGAAAACAACTGTCATATTCCTGACTTGGTACAGGCATTTCCTTAAGTAGAAAATGGTGGATGAAACCTGGTTTTATAGCTAGCTAGACCTCTCTCTTGTATGACAAGTACATAAAATTCCATTATATTGAAAACAATAGGTAAAAATTTCAAAAATGGGGTACAGCAGTCAAAATTGTGTTAAAATCTTAATCTCTATAAAAACAAAATGACTAAGAGCGTGAAATCATTACTTACCCTGCTTGTTATTCAAACTACAGTCTGTAAAAATATGTATGCAGTTGGTAGTAATCGTGTGGTGTATGACAGTTACATAAATCACGTATTTTTGTAATTGTTATTTTTGGGAAGGAGAGGGTGCATTAGTAGTCTATCCTGACACGGAGCAACCTTTCTATAAAGTTAATATAAAAAATTACTTTACAATTGACTTGTTTATTTCATACACAGAAACAATTCATTCGTTTCCCATGTTTCCTGCTTCCTTTTTTCTGAAATTACAGTAACATTTTTAATGTAACTAAAAAGTGATTTCAAATGTGTATATGTTGATTATTTATATAATTAGTGAGTTTTATTTCACTTTATAATTGAGGCTTGTCGTGGTTACCTAAACGCATACGAAAATACAATCCCATTTTAATGCGATCTGTAAAAGGGGATACAATTGCCTGTAAATCCTTTCACAAAAAATTATGCTTGTTGATGGTATCTAAGTTAGGTGATGCATATTTTAAGTTTTTCTTGTCGTGTTTCAGACCTTGGGGTTTCAATATTGCCACCAAACGGTCGGTCTTTCATTTGACCAGACCTTACATCTCATTTTGCGTTGAACGACAAAACAAAACCCTTAAAATACTACCAGGTAATACTGATGATAAGTTAAATTCTGCTTTTTACATTAAAAACAAACAAATGTATTTCAGTCCCAATATCCTTCACTGGATGCACAAATGATGGTCCATCGATGTATAGAATATTTGATGAGCAGGTTACCTGGACTACAGCAGAGGTAAATACGTTCATATTTGATCTATATATTAACAACATTGCGGCAAGATATACGGTTGACACAAAATTTAGTGTTGATTGTATTGTTTTGACAAGGAACACTAGAGATCAGAATTGGGAAGCCAAAAGATAAAAAAACAAAACAGTGAAAACCACTGACAATGTATTTACCTTACTTGCCTCAAGACATATATTATGTCAGTGGTTATTTTATGTTATTCTTTAATGTAGTGACGATGGCTAATTTATATTCATTATTCATAAGTTGTGTTCAGATTCAGGACGATTGAATATGGCATTATATGATTTTTGATGAAAACAAAAAACAAAATGAAAAAACTGATTTAACATTTTCGTCCCTCTCCAGAGCACTTGCTATTGAGCAAAATGGTGCCTCTAGAAATATAAATCACGCATCAGACGTACCAACTTATCGTTAATACAATAAATCTATTTATTCATGTTATTGCCATGGACATAATGGAAGAATATAGTTTTAAATAATTCCCTAATTACGTTTTGGCATTGCATCTTAGCATTTAAGTATCAACATATTGTGCTGTTTGCTCCATTTCATTCTTTTGTTTTAATGTTTTTGTTCGATGCATTCTTTTGTTTTACTGTTTTTTTTTCCGATTCATTCTTTTGTTTTACTATATTCTGTTTTTAAATGGATATCCTACCGACATCTTGACCCATCACATGACTATTGTGTACTATGTGTTTCCGTTGTTTTCTAAACATAGTATATATCATAAAGTATCAAACGAGTCAATGTTATGAATCCAAAATAACACGATACAATCATTGTTTAATATACAATGCTAGTTCTTACGTCATTTGAGAGCATCATGGCAGCCAATTGTTAAGCAACAATAGTTTACTGATGTTCAATTATTATTAATCAATTAAGAAGATAAATCAAAGTAAACAAAACAAACCTATTGAATCGAATGAACTTCAACAGGAACAAGACCGGGTTTGTTGACAAATAAGCGTTTCATCACTTGCTATGCTAATCGACACAGTCAAAATATCATAGTCAGGAAAAGGACACTATCGGTAAAATTACAGATAAGACTAATACTCTGATATTTTCAGATCTAAGACTACGAAAACATGTCGCAAGTGAGATTCGGTCGACCAATTTGTGAGAGTTACCACGAGACATACATGTTTAATGCTGTTATTATTTATTTTCCTCGATGGTTTTCCTCTTAGCTATGTTGGGACTGTTTGTGTAAGGAGCACTGCCCAACCAACCTAATTCTGTTCATGATATGTCAAGTAATACATCCAACACAATCGAATAAAATTCAGAATGGAAATGGGAAATATGTCAAAGAGACAACAACCCGACCAAAGAGCAGAAAACAGCCCAAAGCCACCAATGGGTCTTCAACACAGCGAGAAAATTCAGCACCCGGAGGCGGGCTTCAGCTGGCCCCTAAACAAAAATGTGTACAAGTTCAGTGACAATGGACGTCACACTAAATTCTTAAACATATAATAGAACTAAAATTAAAAAAAAACATACAAGACTAACAAAGGCCAGAGGCTCCTGACTTGGAACAGGCGCAAAAATGGGGCGGGGTTTAACATGTTTGTGAGATCTCAACCCTCCCCCTATACCTCTAGCCAATGTAGAATAAACAAACACACAGCAATACGCACAGTGAAACTCAGTTTAAAAGAAGTTCGAGTCCGATGTCAGAAGTATGAATGGGTCTTTGAAGTTTTCATTAATTATATTATTTTAGCATAACTTAAAGTGCATTTTATTTGAACTATAAATAATACAAACTATGTTACGGAATGTATTGATTTGTATACTTTGGCGACTCACTAACAATCAAATAAACTTCAAATACTCCTTCAAAAGCACATCTTATACTATTAGCTTATATGTCAGATGTCCAGGTGTCAATAATTGACTCAATCAATAAACAATCGACAAAATTACGGATAGATGTCCTATACACATACAATATACATGAACATTCTGTGTTTATCGAACAAAAACCATAATGGTTTAAAGAGTACATGTAGAAAACGAGTATGAAAACATTTAAAATAACATAGCCTGTATAATTCAGTCGTCATATTCTGCTGCTTTATAAACAATATAGAAACAGGATTCTACACGTGTTTCTATTCTATAAAGATATAGATCAATTGCACAGATATAGAGAGAGAGCCTGAATTATTCTGGTAACATTTAGACTGTTCTTTTTTGTTAGCTTGCTTCGACAGTCATTATGAATTTGAGACATTTTGCTGACTTTGTATGCTTTTTATGTCATTTAATCGAAATTAAAACAATATTTGTAAGAAAAAAAAAACAAAAAAAAACAAAAACGATTTAAGGCTGAGGCTACAATAATAATAAAAGTTGCTACACGCAATCCTCTTTGTGTCATTATTAAACAAATTGGAATGGAAAAAGGATTTGAAAAATATCACAAAGCCCTGATTCTGTTTATTTCATTTAAGGGAAACTGTAAAGTTCTTGGTGGAAAGCTTGCTGAAATAGAAACGTACGAAGAAAATGAGTTTATCAAGAATAAAGTAAGAACGCGAGACACAGGAGGTATGTATGAGTTTTTTTAATCATATTATAAAGCATCATTTTGTCATCAAACATTGAAAAATACATGAATACCTAGTAGTATTCTCTAAATAAACAAAAATGCTTAGACTCAAATGGCTTAAGTTGACTTGGAAATGTGGGATGTAATGAAATTTTATTTCAATTACAGCCTTTAAATGATCTTTATTTAAATTGTATTAAAATTAGAATACATATAATATGTTCTCACCTGATTGAAAACTTTAATATACCTATATATACTGTAATCAGTTTTCAACTATAACAAAGAAGTTGGCATTATTTTATTTGGCGGCCTTTTGTGAACGGTTATGGTTGTCTTTCTGATATTGTTTTACATTTAACCCCTCTTGTTTTATTAATTTTGAATTTACATTGTGTCATAGATCAAATTTATTCGTTCAGTGTATGTTCATTTGATTTTGTTAGTATGTCTTTTGATTTAGTTAAGCCATTTCAATTGATATTTTATAGTGTGTCTTTCAATGTTGTGATGTTACACTATTGTTTCAGGTAGGAAGAAGGTTGGCGCCTATTACAACGTTTAAACCCGCTGCATTTGTTTGCACCTGTCCTAAGCCATGAACCTGATGTTCAGTGGTTGTCATTTGTTGATGTGGTTCATAAGTGTTTCTCGTTTCTCGTTTTTATATAGATTAGACCGTTGGTTTTCCTGTTTGAATGGTTTTATACTAGTCTTTTTGGGGCCCTTTGTAGCTTGCTGTTCGGTGTGATGAAATTTTATTTTACTGACAGCCTTTAAATGATCTTTATTTAAATTGTATTAAAATTAGAATACAAATAATATGTCCTAACCTGATTGAAAACTTCAATATAATAAGTTTTTAACTATAACAAAGAAGTTGATATTATTTTATTTGGCGGCATTTTGTCCAAGGTTATGGTTGCCTTTCTGATATTGTTTTACATTTAACCCCCTTGTTTTATTAATTTTGAATTTAAATTGTGTCGTAGATCAAATTTATTAGTTCAGTGTATGTCTTTTGATTGAGTTAAGCCATTTCAATTGATATTTTATAGTGTGTCTTTCGAATTCTATGTTGTGATGTTACACTATTGTTTCAGGTAGGGTGAAGGTTGGCGCCTATTACAACGTTTAAACCCGCTGCATTAGTTTGCATTAGTTTGCAACTGTCCTAAGTCAGGAACCTGATGTTCATTGGTTGTCGTTTGTTGATGTGGTTATTAAGTGTTTTTCGTTTCTCGTTTTGTATATAGATTAGACCGTTGGTTTTCCTGATTGAATGGTTTTACACTAGTCATTTTTGGGTTCCTTTATAGCTTGCTGTTCGGTGTGAGCCAAGGCTCCGTGTTGAAGGCCGTACTTTGACCTATAATGGTTTACTTATACAAATTGTGACTTGAATGGAGAGTTGTCCCATTGACACTCATACCACATCTTGTTATATATGTAAGAATAAGATCACAAGACAAGCACTGTTAAAAGAAAGAAATTAATGCAGCTAATTACGATAGTATATGAAAAGTAATAACTATTGTTAGCAAAACAAGTTTCCTGTCAGTATTCCATACAATAACACGTCATTATTCAAATGGCAAATTAGCAGTAACAATATTTTTACAATCAGTTCCCTTTTTTCAGTTTATGGGTACTGGCTAGGAGGATACAATTTCAACAAAGATAGTGACATGGAATGGATCAGTAGTCCGGACTTAGTTATGTCATTTACTGACATGTGGACAGGGGAGCCAAATAATCCTTCAGCACATTTCTGCATGGGTACATGGAAGGTTTACGATTATCAATGGGGTGATTATGGCTGTGGAACTACAATCTCATACATATGTGAATTTTGACAAAACAGAAACTAAGTTATTGCAAATTCTAAAAAATTTTTCCTGGCGTTATGCGCAGTTATATTATGCAGTAATAACATGTACAGTTGCTTTATACACATGCATGTACTGATCACTTAGAATTTGGTTGGAGAGTGATCTTTTAGTAATGTAATATTTTGAAATATTTCTCTGTAATAATTGTGTTTGTCAGTGTCAATGAGGTATTAAGCTTTGAATATTATGAACATGTTTACAATTTTTATAGAATCTCTAGTAAAATTATCGAATGCAGATGTAAATATTTACTTCTGAAAAGCTATGCAAACCATATATAACACTGGGATACAACTTCTTATACTGCCTAAATGAATACGTATTTTGGGTTTAATTTGATTAGCTAGATTGATATGCATAAAATGTAGAGTTAGACAAACCGCATAATTTCAAATCTTGTGTATTTCAAACTATAAGGTCTTTTTTTAAGATTGCATATAATGTATATATTTATTGTTTTACTTTTTGTAATCTTGGAATGAAATATAAATACAAATAGAAGGTTGTTGGTTTCATTTGTTTTTGTTACTGAATTTTTAGATCGTGAAAAATTTGATAACTATTAGTTAAATACGTGGGGAAAAAAATTAAAATACTAGTATTAAACCATATTCATTTGATATTAGAATAGGATTATGACATATAAGAATAGTATTATGACATATTAGAATAGTATTATGACATATTAGAATAGTATTATGACATATTAGAGAATAGTATTATGACATATTAGAATAGTATTATGACATATTAGAGAATAGTATTATGACATATTAGAAAACCAAAAAATAAATTACAAACAAGATATCATACTTAACTGAACAAGGCTGATCGGACGGCTGTCCGCGGACGAGAAAACATTTTTTTTCAACGGTGAACGAAGGCAAGGCTACTCAGACGGCCGTGCGTGGACGCTAAATTATATTCTTCGGCGGGGAAGATACGGCGAAACGGACGGCTGTCTGCGGACGAGAAAAGGCAGTCATCAGCCGGAAAGGAAGGCAAGCGAATGTGATAGCTGTCAAGTATATTAAATAATGAAGAACACTTTATTCGTTTGGATTAATCTCTAAGACTTTCCTCAGCATGTCCAGTATTTTCAAAATCATTTCAAGATGGGCTTTACTAATCATTTGTTGAAGAGAATTTTTTAAACATTCGTACCATTGAAAATATGATTCAAAAATGCTTAACACTCGTAAAACTGTCTGTATAACTTTGATATATAGTTGATGGTCGATCAATAAATGAGCGATTTTGTAATTTGACAAAAATGAGTATTCTTGCATTTTCATTAACGACATAGTTACAATTCAAAAGTATTATTCATAACATGCCCTTACTCATTATTTGACAGATAGTTAACCCCCTATATGCAGGGACTGCATTGCTTGCCAATTATGAAATATGGCTTTATTTATCAGTCGAATGTGTTTAATGGTGATTAACATTGATAAGATTGTTCTGCTTATGTTGTATTCGTTGCAAGTTTCAACGACAAATCTGCTGATATATAAATAAGCTGCAAACAAGCTAAAAGACAAATACCAATCATGTTAAAAGAAATCCTGAATAGTTGACAGTGGTAATGGCAATATGCCTTATCAATGAGTACATTTCAGAATATTCAAAAAGATACAAAGTATTCGTTTACCTTTAAAAAATGTTTACCTTTCATAGGACACTGTTTTATACATTTATTTACCTTACTTTCACTGTCATTATTTTTCCATCGACTTAACTAAAATGAATAACTTCCTGTTAATCAAAATCGTAATGGATTTGTGTTTGTCAAAAAAAAGTAAATAAACAATCTCCTCACAATACATACAAGTAAGATGGAAACACTTTGTTTATTGAAAAGCGTAGATTTTGACTTTTGTTTTCCGGAACACTCGATATAATTCAAGGTCTCATCAAGTAGTTGTAATGGCGTACTATTTTTATTATAGGCAAAAGGCATGAATTCATTTGTAAAACATACAATCATTTCAAATCATCTCGTATACAATTAATGTAAAACGGTGAAGGGTGTCAGTCTGATATACAGTAGGGTTAAGATTCATATCAGATTCACACGGTCCAGTTTTGATACTTGAATGCATCGGATATTAGGAACTTGACTTTAAACAGCAAAACATTACTAACGTCCTATCAATAACATGATCAAAACAAGATCAGAAAACACAAAATCGACTACTTTCTTAACTAAAACTACTGGACAATTCTACATTTATACGAAATCAATCGCTCCTTAATGATACACATATGTGTTTGTCTAATATAACACCGCTGAATGATGTCCTCTGTTCTGGGTTGAACTTTGCATTTTTGCTGAGGATAAATGGTATCCTTTTATATGAACTAAACTTGTCTGTTCGTAAAAGGTATATGACATTATGTATAGAGTCATTGTGTGATATTAATAAATCAACTAATCGAAGAATTAATATATAGAAAAATATTCAACGAGTGACTGAACAACACACTAATTCACGAATGCGCATCGGTCATGAGTTAAATAATTAGTTATTCTTTTTGTGACATTGACCATCGGCTTTTTAATGGAAATAAAGGAAACAATACAATGAGATTTATCTTTCTGTACGCATTGCCTATCGTTTTGATACCACGTCATCGGAAATGAATTTTCAACACCTAATATTGTTTGACAACAGAGGGGTGAAATTATCAAATTTATTTCAATGTAAAATTATCGGTTTTTGTTTGGGAAATCTCGATGTTTCACTGTAACCAACGTTAAACATGAAGATATGCATATGGAAGTATGCAGCATGTTTCGTTGGCTACCTCTTATAACTGAATTGGAATTAACAAATTAAGATTATATATGTCTGCTTAATTAAAATCTTCATCGTGTATAATGACTGGTGAAATGCATTGCTTGATTGCATTTGAATTAGATAATAGTGAGACTATAAACAAGAAATGCCTGAATGAATCCAACGGAAAAAATATTTTAAGGCAAATTTCGGCTAAATTCAAATGGTTATAAAAATTTAAAACCTAGTACTGCTTGATATTTTTAACTGTTGAATAATAAACCAACTTACCGACTGTTTATTGACAACCAAAAGTAATTAAGTGTGCATCTTAACGACATAAATACCCAATCTTATCAAGTAACAGAGGTACTTTTGCGCGATCTAATTGTATCGCAAATATGAAAATAACCATAGGCAATATAAGAATAGATTTTATTGCAGAGTGTTCAGTATTTGTTTCTACCTAAACACACCAACATTGTACAGAATTGGCTAAAATGCTACTGAACCGTACTAAGTTTACTGCAAGCAATTTTTCTAAACAGTACTTAATTTACCGCACTGGATCAGTTTTAAAATTGACTAAAAGTCCAAACATGACCAATTAATTATTTTTCATACTTTTTTGAAAGATGAAAAAATCAAAATGACCGTTTAAGACTAATATTCATTTACTTGTAAAAACAACAAGGTAAGGGTAACAATTACTGACGATACATCGTAATTTGTAAATTTTGTAAAAGTTGAAAAAAGATATACGATAAAACATGTAAAATATGATTATTAAAAACTGACATCGAATATGAATAATGTATTACAAATCTGATATCATTATTACATTAACAAAAGAAAAGCGCAATCAGACAAGTAGAAAAGTAGACGAATGCCACCTGGGAAAAAAAGTCAACACAACATAGCACAGAGAAGTATACTAATATTTTAAAGACGATTAACTACATAAAACTGCAGACAAATATGGTGTTTTGGACAGATTGGCAATGCTGCTGGAGTAGTAGTATCGGTTATATAACTGATGACAAGTACATTGCAGGTGATATTTTGCATTAAAGAATGAATCCTAAACAAACAAAAAACTCTAGATAAAAACCTTGATAAATAAAATGATACAAACCCAATTCAACATATGCCTTCTTTTACGCGGAAATTAGAAATGAACAACCAAACAAGGTTTTATCTGTTTTAAAAACAGTTCTTCACTATGTAAAACGAACTTTTTGTCAAGAATTGTTCCTGCAAAAATGAATAAAAGATAAACATTTCAATGAACTCGACACATTTTTGTGGAATAAAAATCACCAGAGACGGTCAAGACCGAACTTATTAGAAACCAGATTTATTTTGCAGCTAACCTGTTGATAATATTTTCAGGTGAACTCGGTTAAAAATTCACATCGATACTGATTTGAGACCTTACATTTGGTAAATGTACATCGACCAAATTGAAACTTCAAAGAGAACTACGAATCTGAAAAATGTGCTTTTCAACACACGCTGCTCTATTTTTTTTCAAACATATGTATAAGAATAAAAAGATATGATACTGTGGAAGTACTTTTCTTCGTGGGGTACCAACGTTTGTGGTTTTCGTGGATAGCTTTATACACGAACTTTAGTGTCCAACGAAATATAACAACTGCTGTCAAATTTTGGACATGGAAAGATCCCATTTAGGCAGTTTGACCACATGGATACGGGCATATAATGTAGAGAATATATTGAATATCAGCAAACGCACTATGAACTAAATATACAACTTCAGACAGATTTTATCTATTTTATCTTTAATAACCTACAATGTACGACTTTTAACCTTTAAAATCTCATGAAAAATTATTTTGATTGATGAAAGTCAGACTTGCGGTGATGATATTCGCTGATGAAGTGTTCATTTTATCTCCTCATTATTCTCATACGAAAAAAAATAATAATTTCATAGTGGGCTTCCTTTTTGTTTTCATAAGAATTTTCTATGTAATAGTTTTCTTTATAAAGTAAAATAACAAAAATACTGAACTCCAAGGAAAATTCGAAACAGACAGTCCCTTATCAAATGGCAAAATCAAAAGCGCAAATACATCAAACGAATGGAAAACGACTGTCATATTCCTGACTTGGTACAGGCATTTCCTATGTAGAAAATGGTGGATTAAACCTCGTTTTATAGCTAGCTAAACCTCTCACTCGTATGACAGTCGCCTAAATTTCCATTATATTGACAACAATGTGTGAACAAAACAAACAACCGTAATAGGTAAAAATGTCAATAATATGAGTACAGCAGTCAACATTGTGTTATAATCTTAATCACTATAAAAACAAACAAATATGTCAACAACAAAATGGCACATAGACAAAGCACATAAGCAAAAATGAAAGACAAAAAATTACCATAGCACAATAACAAATGGTGGAATGTATAAGTACCGAGTCACGCCAAAAAGATATTACGAAAAATGGACTAAACAGTAAAGGTAAATAATTTACAAAGACAAATAAAAGAACACTATAAAACGTAATGAAGAGGATAAACAACGTAAGTACCTAGAATCTTTACTTCAAGACCATCATGTCTTATTTGTGCAGTTGATATGGAATATTTATCAACAAGGTCTTTGTATTTTC